ACCATCTTGCGTCACGCGCGCGAAGGAAAATTCGCATTTTATCACATGGTATTTTATTAATTTTAATTTTGCAGAATCTGCGGACGGGACATGGCGCTTGAACTTGCTGTCTGCATTGACGTGAAGAGGTGGACGGCGTCGGCTTTCGCGGTGCACGGGCATGGAGTTACGGGCGTGTTTCTTGGTGCCTGTGATGTGCGTAATGTGCTTGCGAGCAAGAGAAGGAGAGAGCGAGACCTTCGAGATGCGCGAAAAGACAAGCCGAAGAGGCGCGCAGATTGGACGGGCGCCAAGGGCCGCGCTCGGATGATAACCGCCGATGGAGCCTGTCAAGTAAACAGCAACTGGTTTGCTGGCTTGTTTCGCCAACAGCATTACGCCGTGTGATAGACTCCAGCCGCCCGTGTCCTAGTGTGTCGCTTGGTACGTATCGGTAACGCTGCACGCAACGCATAGAGACGCCGGCCAGTAATAGCATCTGCGACGTCCCAACTGTCAACAAAGGGACAGTTGAAGTTGCGCGTCCCGCGGCCGTGTGACCCAAGTCGAGGTGCCGAGGCACGGCAGAGTGCGACGACGCCATCATCGTCGCCCAACACCAAGTATACGACAGACTTTTCTCCTTCCCGCAAGTGTCAAGCGACGCATGGCAGGTTCATTGCTTCTTCCGAACTGCGAGCCAGAGCAAAAGGCGCGAAACGCACGCCTTCGTTACCAAGAGCGCGATAAAAAGATCGCGGTTTATGCACGTAGATGTCGACATCTGGAGCGCTCGGATGAAACGAAAATGACCATTTGGTCATCAAGCGCGGGCGCAGATTTCGCGGTCGTCTGTCGGCCGTCGAGTCAACGGGCGTCGTGTCAACTTCAAGCGGTGCTTACAAAAAAACGAACCGCCGTGCCCGATGGAAACGAGGGCAACTGTGCACGGGCGACTTCTCAGACGCCGAGATTCGTGCTCAGAGTGGCTTCGCGACGCGGGCGGGAACGCCAACGGTGACACCCACGTGTGGCCTTGCCCATCCCGCACCGTTTCGGCCAGTTTGTCCAACGGCGCCGACTTGTCATGGTTCTCATTCCGAAATTGGCCTTTCACGTGGTATCCATCGTAGGCGATGTGGACCGAGGTCGTCGAGCTGCTCATGGCTCTTCGTTGCGCGTCACCACATATAGATATGCGTCAAGGAGAGACGGCTGGATGCGAGGTGGAGGCGCGTTGGGACGTAGCTGGCACAGGAAGGTGGCGACTGCCAAGGGGTCGTGGCGTCGGCAAGGAAAAGTCCGCGACGGCCGTGCTATGTCGGTCGCCGCCGCCTCGACTGGCACGCGTGACGCGGGTCCGCTGGCAACTTGATTCGGTTGGATGATTTTCAGCCAATCGCAGATGCCTGTGACGCCACACTAGCGTTCTCTATAGTATAGTCCCGTTCAATCAATCAGAGCACGGCCTTCAACCGAGGCGGCGCCGGGGATACTTATTTCAAGATTCGAGATCCAACGCAAACTATGGCTGGCAAGGGCAAACAGAACAAGGGCAAGAAGACCGCGGCTCCCACCACCGTCGCTACGACGCCGGTCGTCGATGACACGAGCTCAGAGACGTCCTCGGTCGACGCGAACGCCGAGCCGATGGCCGAAGCGCCGGTGGTCGACGAGGCCACCGAGGCCGTTGAAGACGAGACGGTCGCCGAGACGCCGGTCGTTGAGGAAGCTCCCGTGGAGAATGCGCCTATTGAAGAGGCCGCGCCTGCTGACGTGATCGAGCCCGTGGCTGTGACGCCGGTCCCTGTTGAAGTGGCGCCGGTTGAAGTGGAGCCCGAGGCCCCGGTTGTCGAGGTTGTGCCCGAGCCGACCGTGTCGCTGACGCATGAGGAGACGGTGCTCACGGACACGACGCCGCGCTCGCCGCGCCACGATGTCTTGGCGCTGCCCGTGGACGAGGCGACGACCATGTGGTTTTTGCACCCGTCGTACTACTATCAGAAGACGAAGGAGGTCTACACGTACACGACGAGCTTCCGCGGTGTCGGCGCGGTCGCGCACGTTGGCGAGACGAGCGTCAACTACCTCTTGAAGCAGCTCAACATGAAGCAAGTGGCCACGCTCCAGGACGTGGACACGAGCCTCGCACCGGCGCTCGCGACGATTGACGAGCAGCTCGACGAACGCGTCGCGGGCGTTCTGAAGACGCTGGTCGACGGCCAAGAATACATTTTGGCCAAGAAGGAGCAAGTCGTTGGCCGGGCCAAGGAAGTCCAGTCGGCGACGCTTGAGAAGGTGTCGGCCGTCACGACCACGGCGACGGACAAGGTGTCCAAGACGGTCGAGTCGGTCACGACCACGGTCGAGAAGACGCGCGCGAGTGTGACGCAGGTCACATCGAATGCGCTCGAGTCGGTCTCGAAGGCGAAGGATGCGACCATCGAGACGCTGACGGCGACGGCCCACTCGTTCCTCTCGTACGTGCCGCTCCTCAACAAGAAGGTCATGGCCTAGGCCAGCGACTCCTTGTCAACTCTTATGTATTTCTCCGTTGCCTCCATTGAACGACCACGATGGTCGATCGATATCCGACCCGCCGCCCCAGCACAAAGAAGCGAAAAAACTATTAACACATGACGTGCGGAGTCAGTTCTTTGTTTTTGTCGTCCCATTGAGAAGCTTCACGGACGAGGCGTCGGGGTAGCGGTGGCATTGAAGGTGTCGGCAGTGGCATACAGCAGTGCTGGCGCTGCATTGACGATGGCCGTTGGCTGGAGGTACAGCGCAAGGGGCATGAGCATGAGACACATGAGCGTCGCACCGCACACGGCCAAAAATGACCGCTTCCGGAGTAGCCCGCGTGGCTTGGGCGCGGCTGACGGCAGCAAACCCAGACTCAGTTCGTCGTCGGCGTCGTCGTTGTGCATGGCGTGGCGCCCCAGCTCGTACTCGTAGTCGTCCACATCGTCGTAGCGTACAAGCATCATCTTTCGTAAAGTCAGGAGCTCGCTAATGGCCGTTGCCCGAAAACCTTCGAAAGAACCTGTGGAACGGCCCAACGGCCCTGGCCCTCTGCATCAACTTGCAACGGAGAATGTGCAAGAGTCTGCTCAATGCATCGGCGAGCTTGCGTTCTTGAGCTCGTGCATAAAACCACCAACACGCATTTCGCTGCGATGGCTCTTGCCCGGGCACAGGCTTCTTCATTCTCGGGCGGAGTACCCGAAAACGAGGAACGTCAGACTTTCTCCCACTGTCATTGGCTACCGACCATGAGCTCCGACCATGGTGGCATGCTGGACAGGCCCGTGCGAGCTTCAACTTTTTGTGACTAAGCAGCCGCCCGTTTGGTAGTGTTGCTGAGCATTCCTTAGATTTGGGTTGCTGGAAGATCGCCAACTTCAACGTTGACCTTTCTTCCGCATTTGGCCCAATCAGCTGGGCCAATCAGCAACCTGCATTTCAGTCGGGCATGTGGACGCGCAAGACCATGGCCGCCATCGTCGCCGACGAGGCAAGCGCCAAGCTCACTCGCCAACTGCGTCTAGTCGACTTGATTGCCATTGGCATCGGTGGCACCGTGGGCTCGGGTGTATTTGCGACGACGGGGCTCATCATTGCGCACTCGGCCGGGCCCGCCGCGGTTATCAGCTGGGTCATCGGTGGCCTCGTGTGCCTTCTCAACGGCGTTGCGTACATGGAGCTAAGCTGTCTCGTACCAAGCTCTGGTAGCACCTACGCGTACGCGTATCACGCGCTTGGTGAGCTTCCCGCGGCCGTCGCTGGGTGGCTTCTTTGCTTGGAGTACGGCATTTCGGGCGCCGGCGTCGCGCGCAGCTGGGGCACCAAGGTCCAAGCCTACTGCGAAACGACGTTTGCACCCCGCACGTTTACTTGGCTCAACGAAGACTACTACAGCATTGCGTCCGTGCTCGTGGAGAGCGCGTCCGTCATCATTGTGCTCCTCGGTGTCCCCGTCGGCACGCGCTTTGTGAATGTCATGACGACGGCCAAGGTGCTCCTCGTCCTCTTCATCATCTGCGCAAGCTTGTCCGTCTTTACAATCTCCAACGTGACGCCGTTCTTGCCGCCACGCAATGCCAGCAGCCAATCGTACGGGCCACAAGGTCTCGTCGTCGGCGTAACCCAGGCGTTCTTTGGCTACATTGGTTTTGACGAGGTGTGCTGCCTCGCCGCCGAGGCTTCGGACCCACGAACGGCCGTGCCAAGAGCCGTTCTCGGTACGATACTCGGAACGATGGTGCTAAGTGCCATGGCGTCGCTGGCGCTCGCCGGGATGCAGCCGTGTGCAAACGTCGTCGACTTTGCGTCGGCGTTCGAAGCCCACGGGATGGTGACGACAGCGCACATCGTTCGCGTCGGCGAACTACTCACGATGCCGGTCGTCGTCTTTGTGAGTTTTCTCGCGCAGCCGCGCGTGACGTACGCAATGGCCACCGATGGCCTTCTGCCGCCCATCTTTGCGCGCGTCGACGGCGACGGGCGGCTTCGTGATGGCACGCTACTCACTGGCGGCGTCTGCACACTTCTCGCGTTTTGCGTGCCGTTTGAGCACCTCTGGGAGATCATCAGCTTTGCCATTCTGATCGCGTTCAACCTTGCCAACGCATCTGTCCTGCTCTTGCGTGTCGACGACGCGCGTCACGTCGATGTGGCAAGGACCGTGTGGGCGCTTTTGGGCTGTTCGGGCCTCGGGATGTTTGCATTCCAATATGGCCTCGGCCAGGACAATGCTGTATGTCTTGTGGTGGCGGTGCTGCTCTTGGCGGGTGCAATCGTAGCGACGGCGCGCCTTGTCCACCCCGAGCCGCGTAAAGACACGTCCATTTACCGTGCTCCATGGTTACCGTGGCTCCCCGCACTCGCAACGACGCTCAACTGGTTCCTCCTCGCGCAGATGACGAGAGAAACGATCGTTCTCGGATGTCTTTGGATGCTTGTCGGTGCGGGCATCTACTTTGCGCACGGCGCGCGCTACAGCGTCCACCACCAGACGCGTGTTTGTGTTGACGAGTCGTACGGCCTTGTGCGTGCATCCACCAAGGCTAAAGAACCTGTCACAGACCAAACGCGCGTCCATCTCAGAATCTAGTGCCGATGGACCACCAACCACACAGACCAGCTAAGTAGAATGGAATTCGAGCGCGCACGAGGTCGCTTCCGTTTACAGACGGCTGGTTTCAGGCGGCGGTGCGGTGCCAAGCTCCCTGCGATACATTGATACATAAGAGTTGTTGAAACCAAAGAGTCGACACACGCACCCGTCGCGCGTGTAGAAGAGCATGTAGGCTTCGGCACCGAGCACCGTGGCTTCAGAGACGCGCTGGACGAGCGAGTCGGACGTGTAGTACCACGCGTCGGGATACCGGACGTACGCGACGTAGTGGCCGCCATACCGGTTGCCCATGTGCACGATCACCGCTTGCAGATGGTACACCGTCTTCATGTGCGGTCCGTACGCAGCTACACACAAGGATCGATTGAGCTGCCACGCCGCTCATTGGGGGACATAATCGCACGCAGGAGCACAAAGGGCGCGACGTCCAGTGTCGTCTCGAACGCAACGTGGCTGCTATTCTTGCGCAGCTTTCCGAGACGCTAACCAGATGCGTTCTCGACTTCTTTCCAAGTTGATATCGTACCTTCAGATGCAAGGGAAGCACGAAGGGCAAGCCAAAGAGCTGCATTTGGAGACTCGCGTCTTGGAACGAGGCAGCGTCGGTAGCCTTGTTGCACGGCTCGCAGCGGTACCCAGACGACGTGGCGGGATCGGCCACGAGCGTATTGACCGCCGTGAACGCGCTGAGGCAGTCGAGAAGCGTCACGTCGTCGTCGGCGCTCGCAGGCTTCTACATGGTCGACAGACATCAATGTTGCGAGTCGGAGCCGAGGCGCGTACGGGGATCGCAAGGCTGAGGCTAATCGCATCGTCGTACGACGTGGAGACATGTTGGCACGTATGGCACGTAACCGAGCTAGTGGACAACGACGCATTAGAGTCGAGTCCTTCAAACACGTCATACGTACTTGACAAGGGCCCCGAGTAGGGCGGTGCGCACAAAGCTTGGGGGACCAACGACGTCGATGTCTGCTTCGGGCTGGCGGCCACCTGCGAGCACAACCTCGTCGCTGCTGAGTTTGAGCTTCTTGGCAACGAGCGCCTGGATCTCGTCCATCGTCGCATTGGCGGGCGCGAGGAGACTCAACGTGCCATCCTTGGCGTCCTCAGTCTTGACAAAAATTTGCTGGAGCCCGCTCTCGGTTGGCGACGACGATGCTGTCTTCGATGGCGCCGTAAATTCATCGTCGATGGCCCATACCAGCGCCAAGTAGAGCTCGTAGGCATCTTGCTGAGCGCGGCCGCGGAACTGGCGGCTCGTCTCCCGCACTGCCGAGAGGAGTGCGCTCGGCGTGAACGTGTTCTTTTTGGACGACACAGTTGCGCCGTCGACAAAATCTCTGGCAAGAGAAAAGTGTGAGAATGAAAGCAAGAAAATGGCGTGTACAAGAAAGCTCGGGTGACGGGTGCTTTGGGAAGGCTCCGAGCATGGGCAACAACGTCTTCGTGCAGCTTTGACGACGTAAAGATGCTTCGCAGCGACTGGATCGTTGAGTTAAAGTAGCACGTGTTGCCAAGGTTGGCAAGACCTGCATTCACGACGTATTGAGACAACACCGCGCGACGTCAAGTTCGTGGAACGTACCCGCGACGACGAGAGGGTCCTTGGACGCCGATGATGATGACGATGGGGTGTCGACGGCTTCGGTTTTGGTCTTTTTGCTCGCTTTGGCTTTGCTCTTATTCTTAGGCTTGTCGTCGCTAGGCGGTGTCTCTAGCGTCGGCGCCGCGCTGGGGACGGGTGTCGAGGCTTCAACTGTCGCATACAAATGCATGCGGTTGGCTTTGGCCACGATGAGCTCGTCGTACGACTTGCGCACGTCCGCGAGTGCGGTGGTGACCTTGTCACTGACCCCATCAACGACTGCGTCGCACTTGGTACACCTACAGTCATCTCAGCCTCGAAGAAGCACGTCAAATAGATACCAAACGTCTTGCGTGCCCATGCGAAAGAAGCAGCAGTGCTTGGCATTGTCCCTACAACAGTCGACATTTCATTAGCACGTGTCGGATCAACGCGCTGATAGACCGAATGTGATCCATGCAATGGTCGTGCTTTTCAGCCAAGCAGCCAACGAAACCACACGTGATGCAGAGAGCATTCCGCTTGACGTCGTCGAGCGAGCTGGCTAGCTTGACGTGCTTGGCGTGTTTCTTCTTGGGCTTCGTCGACCCGCCGTCGCATTGCTATGCTCGCATGTTAGGTGACCGCTTCACGCAGCGAAATGGCGTACTGTGCAGCAGTGGAGGCCGCCAAGCTTGAGCCGCTTGCGCACGTGCGAGAGGCTCAGCGCCGCCGCGACGTGGCGACACTCCTTTGGGGCCATCGTGCTTGACTGGTCACTCGATGATGCGCCGTTGATTGTCCGGATACGATTGGCCAATCAGACACGCGCCCATTCGATCGCAACTGCAGCTTTTGCCGTTCGAAACCGATCGACGCATATGGGTAGACCGCGGCTCTCAGCGTCTCCTCACAGCGGCGTGGGATGCTGTTCACCACTGCAGCTACTACTACTAATCGTAGTTGCAGCACATATCCATGCGTCAACCAAGGTTGAGGTGCTCGCTAACGGCGTCGTCAGCGACGTTGCACTGGCACAGGCCAACACGTCGCACTGGCGACGCCTCGACGGGTCCTCGTCGAGTAGCAACGCCACAACACTCTGCGACCTCTCGCTTTTTGAGGCGTACCTCACCAGCTTTGGTATATGGACGCGACGTGTGAATGACGATGGACCCAGCCATATGTGTAGGCCGCGACTTGACCGTCAACGCGTCGCTTTGCGGCGCCAGCATCAATTACTTGCGCACACGCCTCGCCGGCGGCTTTGGCCCCGTGCTGCAGTCAGACATGGAGGTAGTCATGTGCTCGACGCCGTGCCTCTCGAGCGACCTGCTTCACGTCGCGGCCATGGAGGCTTCGCACTGTTCGTGCACCGAGCTCTCGTCGTCGAGCTACATCACGCAGGACTT